TCACTGATCCAGCATGTTCATTGCCTTGCGCAACCGCAAACCTGCGCCAGGTCTCCGCTCCCCATCCTCCTGCCATCCTGGACGCTGCAGCCCTCTGTGCACTGACACAGGACTCGATCGAGCGCCAGAACCCGTGGCCATGGCATCAGCCATTTCTAAGTAAATAGCTACACATCGTTTCCTTCTATCGTATCGTCCATTTGTTTGCACGTATCCAAGGAGTCAGGGCAGAACGTTCACAAATCTCTTACATTATTTATCCTTTATTTAACATTCCTATCCTCCTTCAAAGAACATTCCTGCCGGAGATCAGGAAAACTGTAAAGTGACAAATTTCAGAGATTATGCACAACTCACTAACTACTTACTTATGCCACTTACCAAACCATTTCAAATGATGAATGTACTAAGAAAAAAACAAAACAAGGACGGAGTTGTGATTTGCAAAGTTAAAAAACTAAAACAATTGCTGACATTACAGTTACCAAATAGTTTTTATCTACTGCCACTCATCGGGGAATACAGTGCCCAGAATAATCTTTGGGAGGAGAATCTTTCTGCACATATGTTAGACTGAGTTTGAATGAAGTTACAATCCTGAGTCCCCCAAATACAAATTGACTTTTCTCCTGTATTTTGACTTCTTTGATTTTTATTGAATTCACTCCTTTGTAGGCGGTGAAATGGAGCAATAAAGCGAGGGAGTCTCTCATTAGTTCCCAGTCATGCACGGTGTACGACAAAGTGTTCAGCTGGTTTTCATTGGTCCCGGTGAGAATGTCATAAGAACATCCCAAAAATGCAGGTTACAAATCAGCCCATAGTAAAGAATTACTAAAGTTAGAGTTAAAAAAGGAGATCAAAAGGCAGAAAACAGGATTAAAGTACTGAACTGGGAGATTCGTTAGGGTTGCAGACAGATAAGTAAATTATAGCCCTGCAGAAATTATTTGACTGGCAAATTAATTACACAATCTTACACTGGTTTGCTCAGCCCAGTTCCGCCCTCAGGATGCAGGTAGGAGTCTGCAGGACTTAATAAAAGGAGCCTTGACTGGTCTTCAGCTTAATCAGAGACGAAAATTAACATCTCAGGATTTGAGGCAAATGCGAGGTTTTTCATAAAGCTCAGAAGGACAGAGTTGGGGGCAATCACCCAGGTTCACACGGATTATAAAGCCGAAGCATCCAGACTGCCTTCGATTCACACCCTGATCTGGAAAACCAGCACAGCAGTCTCATCAGGACAGATCCTTCAACAGGACACTTCACACTTGTTCAGAGAACGCCCAGTTAAAATACTCTGCAAAATATTTTACCCCAACCCTGCCAAAATACTCTATTACTGTAAGTAATATATTACTTAAAGCGTTGACTTATTCTGCGACTTATGACTCCACGTTTGCCGTTCTCACTCTGTCCCCAGTGTGCAGAGACATAGCACCTAAGAAATACGTCTTTTTCCAGTTTGCTTGCTAAGTGTCATTTTTTAAAGGAGAGATAACGTGGGCTCTCTCTTGGAACAAATGTTCTGGAAAAGCTTTGGAAACTTATTTACAGCATCACCAACGGAGCCCCATCACCTGCTGGTGAGGGGTCATACCACCTGCTCCTCAGCCCGGGCTGAGACACAATATCATTGCAAATGTTACCTGAGATCTTCTCTGGTTGCGTGACATCACACAAGGAGAAGGCAGGGCTCGTACTCACCCTCTGAAATCAGGCATAACTCCTGCCTCAGTGACCCCAGGGCGCTTCGCTGCCAGGGCTCCGCTTTCTCCCGGGGAATCTCTTGCTTCTCCATTTGTCGTGTTCTTCGGGTCACATCTGGAATCCAAAACACTAATGTTTTTTCAGACAAAAGGAAGATGTAAATCTTTTGGAAGTAAGTAATTTTGAGACATTACAGGATGAGGGGTGTAGCCCTTGAAGCTCAGGATAAAACTGTGTCCAACCAAACGGACCTGGAGATGTGGCCTCAGCTTGACCAGTGCTTTTGGGCACTTCAGAATGGTTTGTCATCATTGCAGATTGCAACAACCAACAATTTCTTCCATGTATGATGCTGACTGACTCCTAGAATTGCAGAAAGGTTTGATTTCTGCATAGACAAGCCCAGTTAGAGTGAGTGAGGGCTTTCTGTCCCACACCCG